GGAATTTTTGCAGGCTAACATCATTGATCGCTACATATTTGTCACACAAAATCGAAACAATCCAGAAAATTAAGATCATTATTCTAAAAATAATGAGTATCCAGCTATAAGTAAATAAGCATAAATAAGCACTAGTAAATTTCTGTAGACCGATATATCGAGAAATTGTTCATAAAATGCATTTGGCTGTCGCACAATTAATGCAATTAACGATTAATCTCAGGAATTATCCCCAGTATCGGTAATAGAGAGTTTTGGAGCTAACTATGAGAACGAGGATGACTACGAGATTCATTGTTCCAACATGCTCTGCACCTTTTCACACCATTACGTACGCATTCCGCAATATCACAGTAAATTTTTCAAAAATTCCGTTGTCAATTTGGTCACGGCTACGATATTTATAAGACGTCAGTACATGATGTTGTAAAGAAGGTCGTAAAGATTAAGACGACGTGATTAATTCGACAAAATTACGATTGTACCCGAGCCAACGGAGCGGAGCGTCGTCCCGGGCGTAAGTCGATCCGGGGCGAGGGTACTAATTCCGCACAACTATTTACACCAGGGAAAAGGAAGGCGTCTGGAAGGCTGCTAGCGGTTTCAATATACGGAAGGCTAGAAGGCTGCTAGCGGTTACTCTCTAATGATAGCATAATGCTAGATTTCCCTAAGGGTAAATTTTTATGGTCATTTGGCGACCGATCTTTCACTGTGGCAGCTCCGAAACTTTGGAATGAACTTCCGAAAGAAATTCGTGACATTTCGTCAATAAGCGTTTTTAAAACTTGTCTCAAGACTCATCTTTTTAAACTAGCTTTTAGTATTTAGTTTATATTAAAGTTAACATTTCAACATTTTATTACGCTTTTAACATTAGTTATATTGTAATACAGCGCTTTTGAGCATTATATGTAAAAAGATCATTACAAATTATTAAATTATAAATTATGTAGTGCATGGGTGGTCATCAGAGTGATCTCACTGATCTCAAAATATGGAATACTGCCAAGAGGGGAATGAGGCAAGTGCCAATATTTATGTTGGAAAGAATGAAAACATATGGATACGTCGTTTCATGCAATCAGCTGTAAAGCTATTTTTTATATTTTACTTTAAAGAAATGACAAGAAGAGATATAAGAAGGAAAATGATGGAATATAAAGCAAGTGTGTTTTGTTTTCTATTCATAAACCTGTACGTTGCTTTCGGGTTTTCCACTTGCCTCATAAATTGCCCTATTTTATATTAAAAAAGCTAGCCTTATACAATTAAAACAAAACAACTGAATTATTCCCATAAGCGAACTGCATATGATTGAACAGATTTCGTTGAAACTAATAAAACGTCTGTGTTAAATAGTTAATTTAATCGGCAAAAGCTATCAAACAATTGAAACAGCATATATAGTATAAAGTTATCTGAACATTTCGTGAAGCGTTCAAGATTGGATATTCACCTTAAATTCTAGCTTGTAGAGTAAATAATAATTACATACGTGCTTTATATATTTCAGAAATTGATAGTTCGACAATTAAAAGAGTTAAACTTCAATCATTAAGTGGGATTTTAAAAAAGTCGAACAATATTCCAAACTAAGCGACCAGGCCTTCACGAGAAAAATACTCCGCCGCCATCTAGGTTTTACAAATTTTCCATAACAGAATACTGGATTTTTAGTTGTGTCATTAGGCAGCTGAACATTGCTAAATATAAAGAAGGAGAACAAGGTAAGAGTAATATCATATTAAACAGTTGTTATTTGAATTATTATTATGTAAATATTCACATTTATCTGCCTCAGGAGTGAGCATTTAAAGATGCCGCTTCCGCCTTCTGTATGATGGCCCACTTGTTCACAACTCGTATTAGGTGCATGCAAAACTTTAATTAAAGCATTATGCATTTTCAAGGAAGAATTTGTATATTTGTAAATATAAATATATTTACTTCGATTTTATAGTGAAGTCTGCTGAGCCAGGGCTGGTCATAAAGCAGGGTCTGACCTAACCTGAAGTTCAGGCCCTAATTTGAAATAGGGCCTGACACAAAACCTATCTAAACCGTGGGACGCCCACATGTTATTTTTAGACACAACATGCAATATGATTGACAAGTGTTGTAGATTTCGTTACACAAAAAATTTATATTCTCATGAACATGTCCGCTCAGTGTGCATTTTGCTTTATAATTAAACTTAAAAATTGAAGGTACTTTTATATAATTAAGAGTCAGGGCCGCCCAGAAGGGGGGGGGGCAAAGGGGGTAAATTGCCCCGGGCCCCGAGTTGCTGGGGGCCCCTGAAAAATTTTTGTTGGGCCCCAGCCTTTTTTGTGTGTTAAATATTTCCGCGCAAAGGACAAGATATCCGTTTTCTTCGGGCTAAGTACCGAATTTTGGCATAAAAAAATGAGATAAAGTCCCTCGAAAGCAATTGCAACGTACTCGTCCGGAAAAATTTTGTAGTCCGGAAAAAATTTTTTACTCCCAGGAAACTTTTTTTACATAGGGGCCCCTAAAAAAACATTTGCCCCGGGCCCCCGCCAACCTCTGGGCGGCCCTGTTAAGAGTCAGTTTCTCTATTTAACTGAACAGCAAACAAAGATTTAATTTGTCAGTTCTGTGCACGGCTTGACTGCCAAGCTTTCTCAAGGTCTCAACTTGCTGGACGCGGGTATACTCTAACGGGCTAACAACAGCAACGTTGACATTCTCAATCGTACCACGAAGAAGGCGATGTAGCTCAGAAAACAACGCCGGTAGGACCTGATATTAAAAATAAGACTTTTGCCGGCGAAGCCAGTTGGCAGAACATCTTGGCTGTCAACAACAAGCTTTCGAATACATGACTCGTTTGGCTGTTCTTTCAGTGCCGTCAGTGGCGAAGCCAGCGTCGTATGAGTGGTCATGCAAACGAGCGCCGAAGGCTTGAGACATCGAGGCATCCTCGATGCTTTATACGCCTATGCTCGGGTTGAAAGCTTAAATATTCAAGACAAAATAACAATACTAAATAATACTAATAGCTTATTTAGCCTAAACCATTCTTTCTTTGAATACCACGACATTTGAAAACCTTTCCCGATCGGGCATGTCGAAAGATCTGGCGTTGGTCTCTGCTTGATAAACAATAATATTCTGCTGAGCAGAAAATGGTGTTTTCACTAATTCCCAAACAATATCGTTAGCTTCGAGTAAAGAAGAAGTCGACATGCTTGAATGACCTGAAGACGTGTTCAATCAGGCTGAAAGCTTCGAGCTAAGAGGCTGTGATCAGGTTGTGTTGCCCGTTTAGTCATGCAAATCGAAAATTGCATGACCAAGGCGTCAAAAACAACCGCATTGCGCGTGCGCGAACGTCGTAAGCCAATCAGAAACCAACAAACCTAATATAAAATAATATAGCTAGTCATGAAATTCTGAAAATGCATGACCAAAACACACAGCGAGCAAACCACGCAGCAATCACACGCAATCGTTTTCCACGCGCTTACGCAACCGGTCATGCATGTGAAAATATGCAGGACCGCTCAGTTGCCAAGGTAACAAAGCCAAAATCAATAACATACGAGAATATTTAGCAAGAATATCGCCTAAAGACCATTGATTTGGGTAAACAAAATAATAAATAAAATACTTAGGCGTAGAAGTGCAAAGATAAAGTATAATTCTATTGTAAACAATTATACTGAACTGATTTTTAAACATTTTAGGGGAAATTTTTAGTCATGCACTGCATGACCTGCATGACCGCTGGGTTCGCCACTGAGCGCCGTGTGTCCAAAATTCGTCCAAGATTTTGATAAACCCTTTCAAAATACTGCTCGTTTGATTTATTTTCTGCCATAAAGCATAAAAGAAAAGAAATTCAAAGAAATCGATAATGGAATTTGTTACGTGCGTTTGACCTTTATATCACTATCCTCCACAGAACCTCCTTAAGTATTTACAAAGAACTTACATGAAGTTTCTTGAATAAAAGCGAGCGGGCTCGGTGTGATGGGAAGATTGAAATGAAGTTGGGGAGGCTCTGCCAGATAATGCGACGAAGTATGGCCTTTTTTAAACTTGACCTTTTAAATTGACCTTTTTTAAACTTGAAATCGACGATTGAGAAATGAACTAAATAGAGCTTGAAAAGATAGCCATCCGATTAAAAAATATCATAGAAATACAAGGAATAAAGGTCCGACAACAAGTGTAAACGGAAATGGAAGGGCTTCCAGCCTCAAATATGCCATTAATAATAATAATAAATAATTTATTAATTTATAACTCAAATATGCCATTAATAATAATAATAAATGATTTATTAATTTGTACCGCGCTAAAACTATAGAATATTCTAAAGCGCTTAATTACATAAAATAGGTTGCTAATTTAAAAATTTCCCTACGTTATTTACACAACATTTAACTACTATAAGCATCTGTTTAAAAATATTTAAAAACAACAAGTATTATTAATGTACGCATCTCTACACAAGAATGTCTTTAGATTTGTCTTAAAAGAATCCAACGAAGGTGAAAGCTGAATCTTACACGGTACTAAGTTCCATAGAGTAGTCCTGCTTTCAAAAAGGCACGATCACCAAAATACTTTCTACGTGTTCTTGGAACATGAAGAAGCCCTAGTTCGTCCGATCTCAAAGAGTAGTTATTACTTTGTTTATAAGTCAACATGTCACAAATATATTTGGGAGCCAATTCATGCAGAGCTTTATAAACCAACAGTACGATTTTGAATATAACACGATATTTAACCGGTAACCAATGCAGTTTCATTAATGTAAGTGTAATATCTATTATCTGATGATATGGGTGTAATATCTATTATCTGATGATATGGGTTGGAGAGAAAGGCCGAGAAGTATATAATACCTGCAATTTAAGAGGCGAAGAATCGAAAAAGCTCACTACTTACTGCGAAAGATTCGAAGTGTATGTAAAGCCCGAATCAAATAATATTTTTGCTCGTTACAAGTTTCTAATAAATTACAGCAGAAAAAGAACCATTCGAACAGTTCTTGACTAAACTCAAAATCGAAGTTAAAGATTGTGGATACAAAGACCGAGATGAAATGGTTCGAGATCGAGTAGTAATCGGTTGTTATTCGCAAAAAGGACGAGAGAAATTAATACAAGAAGGATCTGAACTAGTCTTGGAAAAGGCAGTCGATATCGCTCGAACACAAGAAATGTCAAACACCCAGCTTCAAAGTATGGCACCTGAAGATAAAAATTACTAAGCCTCAGAGAAGAAAGAGAGAGAAAATTTCAATATAAAGATGAAAAACGAAGGCGCAAACACCAGAGATGGTTATAGACAACACTGCAGCAAGTGTGGTATAAAACATGACCAAAATAAATGTCCAGCAGAAGGAAAGACATGTGCAAAATGCAAAAAGCTTTATAACCATTTTGCAAGAATGTGCAAATCGAAGTTCAAAGTCAAGTAAAGGAAAAGGCAAGAGCATGGAGTTGAAGAAGAGGAGCCTGAAGAGAGTGACAGTGAACTATATGTTGGTTCTGTGGGAACTACAGATGCCATAAACAAGAATGAATGGAATGAAAATGTAAAGATTGCGGAGGATTAATGTAATTTCTATCAAAGATCTTCAACGACTTGGAATCAACACAAATATAAAGAAACCAAAAGCACAGATCAAGTCATACTCTGGTCATGTTATGTTATGTCATCACCACGAAAGGAGTGAGTACAAAAGAAAAACATACCAAGTGAGTACAAAAGAAAAAAATACCAAGTAAAGTTCCATGTTGTTGATATTCCAGCACCACCAGGATTCAGTGCCAACACATGCAAAGGAATGGGTCTAGTAGAAAGAGTACATGCAGGGAGACGTCGAAGTCACAAGATCATCACGGCATTGGGGAAAGCAACAAGATCTAGCTCTCAACGACTCAAGAGAATGGCAAGCAGTCCCTGGTGCTAAGATATTATGATCTCAAGAAGCCTGTTACCTTGTCTGTAGATGCCAGATGACTTGGAGCAGTACTTTATCAAGAGGAAAAACCAGTTGCATATGCCTCCAGAAACCACTGGAATATATATTCAATAAGCCGCTGCACCAAGCACCACTTCGTCTACAGAAGATGCTGTTAGCCCTGGAAAGATACGAGTTAAGAATTGTCTACAAGCCTGGCAAAGAGTTGTTCATTGCTGATGCTCTAAGCAGAAATTACCTAGAAGAGACGAAAGAAACACTGGTGCAAGAACTCGAAGTAAACGAAGTCTACCTTACAGCCCACTTACCAATATCAGCTGAAAAGTACCAAGAAGTCCAGAAAGCCACTGCTGATGATGTTGTAATGCAAGCAGGTCAAGATACAGTTCTCAAGGGATGGCCAAAAAAACAAAGCTAATGCACAATCAGAGATCAAGCCGTATTTGACATGTAATTGCCTGCATTGATGGCCTCCTCTTCAAGGGAAACAATTTAATTTTCCGAAGTCCCTTCGTCCACTGATGCTAGACATCATACATGAATCACATCAAGGGATCGTGAAATGCAAACAACGTGCAAGAGACCTCTTCTACTGGCCGGGAATGACAAGTCAAAACGAGTATAAAGTGTCAAATCGAGGATGAAATGCAAACAACCCAACGTCCAAGAGACCTCTTCTACTGGCCGGGAATGACAAGCCAAATCAAGGATAAAGTGTCCAAGTGTCAAGTTTGTTGTGAATACTAGAAAGCCCAAGCAAGGGAGCCCATTATAACTAACAAGATCCCTAACCGCCCCAGGGCGAAAAGTGGTGTGGATTTATTTGAACATAACAAGACACATTACCTATTAAGTGTTGACTACTACTCCAAGTGGATCGAATTTGCCAGACTGGATAACCAAAGCAGCAAAAACACCAGCACTTCCCTCCAAAGTCAGTTATCCAGATATGGAAAACCAGATCAGTTATTGAGTGATAATGGTCCCCGATTCATAAGCGCAGAATCCGCAGAGTTTTCTAGAAATATGGGTTCACGCACATCACATTAAGTCCTCATTACCCGCAAGCAAACGGGGAGGCAGAGGGAGCCGTACAGACCGTGCAGTGTTTTCTCACTCAAATGGTCGCAGACTGAAGACCAGTCTCCCAACACCAGCGTCACTTCTAAAATCTCGAGCATCCGATGACGTTCAGCGAATTCTGAAGAAACAGAAGGAGAAACAAATGCAATACTATGACAAGCGCACAAGAAAAGAATTACAACCAATTCAACCAGGAGAGACAGTACAAATGAAACATGGAGAGAAATGGGTTAAGGCCAAAGTTCTACACAAGCACCAGTCACCGAGATCATATGTCATTGAAAATGAACAAAGACAAAGGTATCGAAGAAACTGCCATCACCTGCGTTCCAGTTAACTATCAGAGAATGACCAGAGGTGTGATGTTAAATATTCCAACACCGAAGAGCCGAGTGTGAGCCGTGACAAAGCAAGAGCCACAGCCAAGAATGCAGTAGGACAGTCCAGCCACGATATCATCGACTCGCAGCACAATCTTGTGATAACAAGATCTGGACGTGCAAGTAAACCACCTGAGTCTTTGATAACCGGTAACTATGCCTTTAAAATATCATAACTAGTGACAGGTAATAATTTGCGAACAGTTGAAAACAAAAAACCGAATAGCTATAATTGCAGTTGATATTAAGGTCGTTGATTAATATTGGCAAGTTTTTTATAAAAAAAGGGAGATGTAATCTATGCAGATGCTGCAAAGCATCTTGGGAGTAAATATTTATTGTCTTGATTGCATAACATGGCGTGTGATCCAGAAGACATAACACAGACATGTGGGTATTTGGTAGCCCGCTTCAAGGAAGACCGGGTGTTTTGTACTTTTCGCGTTCGCACACGAACGCATCATTCTGGTTGGCATTTTGTTGTTGGATTCTATAATTATATCAGTGATTCGCCACAAAGTCTCTCGATAAGCTTAATATTGGATCTGAACACTTTTTTCGACTAACAATGGCAAGAACAGACCGTTTATTGTTTACTTGAAGGAAGAAAGGTTTTTGCATGCCGTTATTCCAACGGGAGATTGCTTGTCGTGAAGTATTAGAATAGCAACATTACCACTGGGGTAAACTACATATGGAATAAACCTTTTAATACTTGAGTTTCGTTAATTTCAAGCAGATTTGATACGTTTATATGTTCCTCAAGATGCGCTATTCGCCGCGGTGAAGATTTAGAGCCAGTTGCATGTAAGCCTATTCGAAACACCTTGCGATTTGCAGGGCTTCTCTGAGAGGGCGAAACAAGAAGACGGTAATTGTCGCTTGAAACGATCTGGGCTCACTTTTGTCGAGTTCTTTGCCAAATTAAATAACTGAAATATAATCCGTACATTCCCCCCACAAGAATTAGACACACGATCTCATGATAATTGAGACAATTTATTTATACCAATGGCGAGAGAAGAACACAGTAATTCTAATGTGCATGGTCGCACGACCTCCCTCACGATTTGAAGTTTGAGACTGGTTTTCTCTCCTGCAATGATTTGAAGCTGACTGGTTTGCTGGCTTTTTTGCAGTTAAACGCAGCCATTTACACACTGTTTCTATTCTGAATACGCAGAGAAAATCCCTGAACATGTTAATGGAGTTTGTTTACTATTTGGGTTGCTGTCATTGGTTCTTTTTTGACAATTGGCGCGCGAATGGGGCGTGTTATGAAATGCGGCGTATTACAAAACAACCGGCGGTCTTCCTTGCAGACCCACTATTCTTCCCTCGGTTTTGGCAATCGCGGTCCGTGCGATATGACTGGTTTTCAGCGACCATTACGCGAGTTTGTAAAATATCTCCTCGCAATATTTTTGCCGTTTTGCACAAAAACTTAGAAATTAAAACAATGATCGTGCATTCGTGCTGCCATGGCTAACGTGACGCGAGCAACGCGCGAGCCTGCGTTCATTGGTAGCGAGATTTAGAATATTTCATGCTAAAAAAAATGTTTGGGAAAGTAAAAGCGAGGGGTTGATGCATACATGTTTTTCTAGTTGTATCTGTGATGTGTTATGTTGTGGTTGTGTGGTATGGCGTGGCATAGTTAATGATGTGGTATGTTATGGTGTGGCAAAGTATGAAGTCGTATGGTTTGGTGTGGTATAGGATAGTGTCAAATTGTGCGCTTTATAATATTTTAACTCTTTCAGATATTGACGAATGCTCTGAAGGGAACTTCAGTGGTTGTCCAGGTGCATCTTGTATCAACGCTCAAGGCTCATACAACTGTCAATGCAAAAACGGATACGCTTGGGATGGAAAACAGGAATGTTTAGGTATGAAGTCTCCAAAAGAACTATGTTTTTAAGTCCATTGTAAACGACACGACAATAGCGAAATTGGATTTTCATTGCACCATTAACCCCCACCAAAATTCTAAAACTGACCAACCGTAGTCAATCACACAGTAGTCAAAGCTAAACAATTTGAGCTGTAATACGTTGAATATTTCAGACCTTGACGAATGCTCCGACTGAATTTTCGCATGTCACCCAAATATTCGAGTAACTGTTAGACGAAATGTAATATATCATTAAAGGAAAAAAAAACTCTTCTTCGTCGGCTTTCCACCGTCAATGTCGCCCGATGTGGTATTCTTAGATGAATTTTAAATTATATCTTTCTTTGTTTATTTGCTGCTGCAATTTCTCTGATCAGATCACATCTGGCAACCAGTAGCGTAGCTAGCGGTCCTGCCTTTCAAAATTCATCATAATCATAATGTTATTTTGTCTCATTTTGTCGTCTCTTCGTTATTATTATTTTTAAAACGTTTTTCACATTATGTTATATTTACGCAATTTTACAACTTGCAGTGTCTGTTACCTAGCAACTGCAACTCTGCATTGATTTACACGCGCTTGTGTTTCAGTCCTGCAATCATTCTCGTACCCAGAGCCCTTCTTACGCGCGTTCGACCGAGCCCGACGAGGGGCTCTGGCCAAATCCATATCAAACTGGCTTCTGATTGGCCACAACGAAATATATGGTTTATTATAGTAAATATGAATAAAAATACACAAGCGCTCCACGAAGCGTTGGTTTCCCTTTGAAAATTGGGAGAAAAGACATTATTAAAGTTGAAAGAACAGCAGTACGAAGCAGTTAGGAAGATTGTTGTTGATAATCGCCCACAAAAGCGGTAGATGTCGCTAATTTTATTTATTTAAATCAATTAGTTGATTGAAATTAATAGGTTGAGACGTGATGTTCTCATAGCAAAAAGTCAGCATATTTATGGCAGATGCTCGTCGTATTTCCAAATCAGTGATGTTAATCAAACAAATCTGCGTTACATGTTCAAAGCTGAAGTGCCATCTGAAGAGAAAATATTAAAGCCAGCCAGAATATGAAGTTAATTGTAATGACTATTTTCTTCCTAGAAACGGATTTTTTACAAGTTTCAAATGATTTGCAGTATAGTATGTCTTATGTATAACTGTTGACTTTTAATAAAACACAAAAAAGTCCAAAAATCTGTACAACAGCGACTTAAAATCGAATATAAAATAGTGAGACAATCTCTCGTCTTCGTATCCGTAGCCATTACTGCTTTGGCAACGTTTAAGAGGGAAATATATACTAAATTTTTATCAACATGCATTGAGAACATCATGTCTTACCTACTAATTGATTTAAATAAATAAAATTAGCGAAACCTACCGCTTTTGTGGGGTTTTCCTGGAGAAACACTTTCAAAACGAAACAAACAAGAAAGCCGAAGTGTTTATCCGCGTTTGACGTTGAGCATGCGCAGTGTTTAACCGGATACCATGTTTTTATGGTATCCGGTTATGGATTTGGCCAGAGCCCCTCGTCGTGCTCCGTTGACCGCGCGTAAGAAGGGCTCTGGGTACGAAAATGTACTGCAATTTTCAAATGGCAGGACTTGGTGGTATATTTCATATAGTAAATTCATACAAGAAATCTTGCTTCTGATTGGATAATTAGGTCTGCGCATGCTCAAACAGAATGTTTACAAATGCGAAGTCCTGCTCTCTCGAAATGGCTAGACTTGCCGGGCCTTGTGCTGTGTTTTATACTTGCGAGCTTTCCGCGTGACAAAACCCACTTTTTACTAATTCTGTCGATATTACTAATTTTATGAATATGGAAATCAACGAGTGTGGAAGCCCAATGTGATTTTGATATAATTTCCGGCTTCTGCTAAGATATTTTAGCTCACGAAATGCATGTGAACAGACTCGACTGACGATTTTGTATTTTATAATACAATATAATTAACGGGGAATACAAAGTTCACTTGTGAAGCCTGTCATATTGATATAAAGTAAGATTTACTGCCAGTTCATCTGCTTTATGCATTGAAACACGAGCAACACGAGCACTTAAATGGAGTTTAAAAAATTATATAGTGTACCAATTTAGTCATAGAATCACACTGTTTATGCAGATATTTGGTCGCATACGCTATATTGAACGCTATATTATACCACAGCCACAGTGGCGTGGCCAGCCCCGACAGTTTAGTCCCGCTATGCAAATTCAAAATTATTTGATTGTTTTTATTGTTCAATTCTTTAGGAATTGATTGTTTTCACAGTCAATGAACACGAAACTCTTTGCATAGCGAGACTATATCGTCGTGCTGCATGGCTACGCTTCTGACCATAAGCATAGCGTTGGTCTGTAGTTGATACCACTCATTGTTCAATTCTTTAGGAATTGATTGTTTTCACAGTCAATGAACACGAAACTCTTTGCATAGCGAGACTATATCGTCGTGCTGCATGGCTACGCTTCTGACCATAAGCATAGCGTTGGTCTGTAGTTGATACCACTCCATTATATAAAGAGGGCCCCCTATACTTTTTGCGTGAAGCGTGAAGGGCTTGTTTTACTTAGCCGTGAAACGTGATCAGGCCCCCTATTCTTTTTGCGTGAAGCGTGAACGGCTTATTTTACTTAGCCGTGAAACGTGATCGATGATTTTCTTAATCCGTGACTCGTGATAATATTTTTACGTGACAATATTTTTACGTGAAAGCATATTGTGAAGAGGTATAAGGGACCCTCTATAAAGTTTAACACATTACTAACAAACGTAATGATTTTTTAACGAATGCTAGCCGCAGCGTTATAGGACTTGTATAAAACGCCGTGTTCAACAGTACAATAGTTACAGTACGCAATTGTTGATTATGTGTTGATTTTAAGTGAAAAGATCATAATATTACAGACGTGTATTGTATGCATGATATTTCCTCTTTCGTACGGACTTGACTATATTTAGCTACATTTTCACTTAAGTTGAAAAATATATAGTGAAATATGATAAAAATGCATTTCCGCTAATCACACAATTTTTTGATGTTCCCTTTGGAGTATTTTGCCGTGAAATTGCAGGAAATGGCCATTCCAGACTTCTAAAATTCACAATTTTCCGGGGGAGCATGCTGCCGGACCTTGCTAGAATGTATGGATCTTAGAGCAGGACTAGCCAAATTTCACTGGCTACGCCACTTCTGGCAACTCTAGCAGTGAAGCATGAGCTATTACTTAAAAGATATATTATATACATATCTTCTCGGATTATTTTAAATATCAATGTTGAATTATTTTATATAGATTCAACGTATTGCAGTTTGGTTAGGGTTAGGGTTAGGGTTAGGGTTAGGGTTAGGGTTTGGAGGTGCTGAGTAAGTTTCAATGTTTTATTGTCTGAAACAACATTAAACTATCGAAATTGGGATGAATACTTCAAAAATCACAACTATAGATCTGTACTATTACAGGGCGCGAGATACAATGTTTATTCAACTCAGATCTTGAACTCGCTAAACAGAAATAACCTTAAGAAAAGACGTTTTCAGCAATTTAGTGTCGTAATGTCCTAAACAATTAACAAAAATGTCCCCGACGATCTTTGAAGCAAATCCCCACTAAAATGTAAAAAACTAATGTAATACACAATACTACAATTTACGTCACTCTGACTAAACCTTTTTGTTCCAAGACCTTTGACTGAGACGGTTAAGAAAAGTTTACGTATATAAAACTACAAATCAGAGCTGCTCGGATTACTATAACTATTTACTTATTTATTTAACTTCGTCAGGTAAAATTACACGAGTGACATGCATACAATACAAATACAAAATTATACAAGTGACGAATGGGGGGGACACCACAACAGTTAAAACCAATTATTGCGAGCCCTTTAAACATATCGGTTACATCAACTCTGAGCACTGACAAAGATTATTCTGTTGCATTGGAAGCAATGGGTGGGAAGCAACTTAAAACAGAAAGGAAGAATAGTAAAGCAAAAATCATGTACAAATTATTGAATAAAATATAGGACACAAATCACTCACTAATGTCTTCACATGTAAGTGTGAGGTGAGAAATTACAAACTTCGGAACATTTCATGTAGTCTTTGCTTACTACAACAGCGTACTAATAATATGAAGAAAAAAATAATGCATGACGGAGCACATCTTTGAAATTCTATTCCTAAAGAAATTAAGGAGAGCAAATCTAAAGTTCCTTTCGAAAGAAAATCGCTACTCACATTGATTGATAGCTAGTTGAAAATATAGATTATATATCTGTATATAGATTATTTAATACTTTAGACAATTTTGTTAGATTATATAATACAACTTATCTTATCCCCGAGCCGACGGCGCGAAGCGCCATGCGAGGGTACTAATTCCCCCCCGGCTATTTACACCCGGGGAAACGAAAGCATTAGCGGAGTCTAAAGTTCATCAAATATCGCGGGCGTGGGTCACCAACGGTGTTGGGTGGGTGGTCATCCTCACTGATCTCAAAAATATGGCGGACTGTCACAAATAGCGGACACTGATTGGTCCAATTTAAAGTTTGCATTATAGCGACCGCATGACGACAGCGAAATAGCAAACATTTCTTGAGTTGATTTGATGATGGATAAATTTTTTGCAAATATATTTCATTTTTGCTCGCATTTTTGCAAGATTTTGCAAATTTCAAAAGCTCTCTGAGAAAGGAACTGCGAAAGAATCGGCTAAAAGAAGGGAGCCGACGTTAACGAAGGTAAGTTTGTTTTAAATATTGATTTTATAATGATTTTATAATGGATTTTATAATATTGATTTATATGAAACAACTAAACAAGACAGCATATAATTTCAGTGTATGTATCTTTAATATTGATTCCCTTTTTTATGATATTGAAATTTTTAAATAAATAAGAAAGCAAACTTATTTGCAAGCGAAAATTTTAAATCATTTTATTGCAAACTCAAAGTTTATTGATAAAGCTATTTTAAAAGGCAGTTTAGTTTTATATTATTAAAAGA